GCATCCCCAGTAGTACTCCCGGAGGACTCAGATGCCACTATGGGTGGCGCTGAGGCCAGGGGCCTGTACCGAAGTGTCGGGGATTGACACCGCGACCCCTGCAGGATCACACCCTGCGGAACTAGCCCATCCCGCCCGAAGTTGGCTATCCAAGGCCACTGGGGGAGGGGCCCCAGGGCGAGATCCCCGCTCAAGAGTTAGCAGAACATTCTTCATAGCTTGGAGCACTGAACCCCACTCTTGCGCCTCCCTTGCGCTAGCGCCCCCCGAATCTAACCCAGTTAAACCAGAGTACTCACCGGCAGGAGCAGAATTTGAAGGTAGCAGCGGAACTGCAACTTGTGCACCAGCCTGCGACGGCCCCGAGGGAACTGCGACCGCAGGAAGCACCGCACCAGTCACAGTGTCAGGGAACCGATTCGCAAGCTGACCAGGAATGATCTGTGAAGACAGGACAGGTGAGAAAGAACCCTGCCCACCCACCCCAGGTGCTGGGGGACGTACAGTAGAGGGGAGCAACCCTGCAGGATTAGTGGAAATGACAGAGGAACCAGAGTGTGGGTCTGCTATGGCAGAAATAGCCCCAGAGGGGGCAGCATGGGCCCTAGGTAAAGGTAGGGCCGGTGCAGAAGGATGCAGCCCCAAAAGAAAGGGGGCAAGGGGGGTAGGATGGGCGGATGAGGTTGATGGGAGTGCGGCAGAGGCCAGCCCAGGGGAGACAGAGAGGGGAGGGGGAGAAGGGGGGGGCTATGAGTGATATTAGCCGGTCCTGGCTCTATGCCCTGGCCCCCCGAACCCCCCAACCCCTGACTGAGAACCCCGGCGGCCTGCGGCCTACTCACCGTTTCTGGAGAAGGACCGGCTGCAGGCCCAACCTGTGTGCGCTCTGCCCGAGATCCGCTGGGGGCAGAGTGCACATCAGGTGCCCGGCGCGCCGGCCGGGACAGATTGCTGGAGCGTGGTCTCGCGGCCGCCCTTCTGAGGGCGTGCGAGATTGGAGGAGCAGGGACCGGGACGGGACGGCCATCACCTCCCCGAGAAGCGGCTGCCAGACGGGCACTGCGAGACCGCCTCGGGGAGGAGGCGAGAGGATGCTGACTTGAAATGGCGCCCGCGGCCGCGTGGGACCTGGCGCGCGGGCCGGCAACGGGACTCCTGCTCCTGTCCCTCACCCGGCCCTCCCGCGAGGGGCTATAACGGGTAGGGGGACACGCCCGGCGGCGCGGTGTTCCATCGCTGCCGAGAGGGGGAGCAGCTACCACTGAGGCACCCTGCAGCCTTACCAGCTGGGCCTGCAGGTGCCTGCTACCGTCCTGGAGGGCCTCAGCCCTAAGGGCAGCAAGGATCCCATCTATATCCATGCTCCTGGCTGTGGGGTAAGCAAAAGTAACTAAAGGCTGCAGCACAGTGAGGAATAGTTACCTTGCCGTTAGATTTAAGATGGCTGAGGTAAAAGACAAAATGTAAACTATTTATATAACCCCACCCTACTCCTTAGCTAAATAACACTCCCATCTTTACCACCACACCCACCACACCCACACATGCCTCCTATTCGGCTAGCTTTCAGCCCGCCTCCTCTGGGCCTTTCCTTTGGATGAATCTCTTGGATGATTTTATTGTATTTTGGTTGATTCCCTCTACAGTTGTCCATGTAATATCAATTTTCCGGGGGGAGAATCCAGTAAGGTTCAAGGAGCACATCACCTCCCCCGAGTCACAGCGGGTTAAGCTCACAGGTTCCAAAGAATCAGGAGGCACTAGTAAAAAAAAACATAATACATTGTTGCTGATATTTTATGCCCAGACTCTTAATCCATGTGTGATTAAACTGTAAATTAGATTTGCTAAACTGGGTGTGATTTTATTTATAGTGCAATACCTTAAATGTATTAAAGGACCACTATAGGCACCCAGACCACTTCAGCTTAATGAAGTGGTCTGGGTGCCAGGTCCAGCTAGGTTTAACCCTTTTTTCTATAAACATAGCAGTTTCAGAGAAACTGCTATGTTTATAAATGGGTTAATCCAGCCTCTAGTGGCTGTCTCATTGACAGCCGCTAGAGGGCTTCCGCGCTTCTCACTGTGATTTTCACAGTGAGAA